GCCAACACATGGAACACAGCAAGACAGACCCAACTGTCATCCGGACGGGATGAGTCTCACAGCACACAGGTGGCTTGTGACAGTAGGTGGCTTAACTTAACTGATTTCCTTCTGAAGTAAAAATATGAGCATCTCCCATGGGGCTTTAAAACGACAGGCTCTTATCACAGGCGGTTGAGATTATCCAATACATCATCCAAAATCGTTTTGGAATACAAAGATCAGCCGATATGATAACATGAAGTTGGAATTAAATGACAAAATCTTTGAGACAGCTATTTACTTAAAGTTTCTACCAAGCTGTAGTGAAGACCCTGGGATCTTTGACATGTTGGTAATATGGAACATCTGCCTAGCAAGGCTAGGCGCAGCAAGTACAGCCTAAGAAAGGGGTCATGTGATCTACCAACAACCTCAGGAAAATGAGCTCTCATGTCAGCACACACCCAAAGTGTGGGACCCGAAGCTACCGGAACCAATGTTTTCCAGGCTATGTTTCAGTCTTGCTTTGATGCGAACCCTCCTTACATTCCTCCTAGTCTTCCTTTTTGGGATGGAAATGTTTACTCCATACCATGTCACCTTGGAAATACATAAATTGTTTATAATTTTACAGGGGCCTACAGCTATGAATTTTCTCTGTGTCCCGAGGGAGAGTTTTAGCCTGGCCTTCTGAACAGTGTCAGAACTGTTACCAGTACAGGATTCTTAGAGACTGACTAACTACATTTTGCACAGTGGGATGGACTTTACCCTTTTGGGACCCAGCATAGAGTGTGACATGTGATTTGAATTATGGACTGCTCCCCTTACAAGTTTATATTTAGTGGAGGTTGGACCCAAGCTTGTGGGGGTTTTTAGGGACTATCTTTGGGGGCTGTTCCCTCTTCCCTTTCTCTGCTTCCTGCCCACTGTGTGGTAAGTACCTCTGATGCACGGTTCTACCACTATGCTGTCTGCTTCACCATGGCTGAGAAGCAACAGAACAACAGCCTGTGGGCTGAAATTCCTGACACTGCAAGCCAAGGAAACTTAGTTCTCAAAGAAACTTTGATGCTATTTGATTGGGTATCCATCACAGGTTGATTCTTGCTATCGACTGGTATTTGACTGATGTTTTCTATGAGTGTCGTACATGCTGAGGGTGCCGGCATAGGCAGGGATTGCCTACCCTGCTCCTCCTTCCCATGAGAATGGTCCCTCTTTATTACATTTGCTCTTGCGAGTCTCCATGATAAGCAAGGACCAGCCAGGCAGGGAGAGCATGAACACAAACGCAAGGAATAAGTGAGACAAAACTAAACATGTCAGGCACTTCACGGTACGAATGCTTACGAACTTTCTGAACTAATTTAATTTCACCAGCTTGGTCAAAGCACAGGGACAGATTATTTTCCGTGTGCAGAAAGACCATCCCTACACCTGAGGCAGACAATAAATCCAGAGAGCGAAGCCCCTCCAGGTGTGGTCCGAGAGCAGCGGCAGTGGTGGCAGTGAAGATTACTGCGAGCGAGCCATGCTCCCGCACCGTGAACTTCAGCCGTCACCCTGTTACCTCACAAGTCCATGAGCGTGCTGTAAACAAAGCACAGGCAGGACTAAGGTGTGAGCTCGGAGCAGTGCAAACAAGCAGAAAGCAAACAGGCAGTGTCAAGTGTGATGACCACTTCCTGCCGCTGCCATGGGAACCCAACACCACGGATGGTATGGGTATCCTTAACAACAGGGGACTAATATTTGCACTAAGAACATGCCTGGGTACCGTGTGGGCCAATCCTCACAGCTGCCCTGTTTTCCTCCATTTCAGAAAACAACAGGGTGAGGTTGAAAAGGCTGGAGAGATTTTAGAGGCCCAAAAACGTGAGCCTACTTCCATCTTGTCAGAGTTTCAGCTTGTTCAAATCTGTTGACAAGTGTGGCTCCAAACCCTGACCTAGGGTGTGGTTACTTGGTGTTTCTGACGTTAAGAAGGCGTGTGTAGGTAGATCCACTCCACCCTGACCAGGAGCCAAGAAATTCAAGCTCCTTCTTTTGAAACAGGAGGTTTGACCTTGGGAGTGGCTGATTCAGGAGACTTGGTCTTGGGTGGGTTCACAGCCGAAACAAGAGAACGCTAATGACTTAATATCTCAAAGTATTGAAGCAAATAACTGTTCTAGCTGTCCTTTGTATCATGTTAAAGCAGTCTTTTGTCTTCTTCCCCCTGTTGTATTGGGGTATAAAAGTGTCTGGAAAATTAAAGGCAGGCGGATTTCAGTATTCACCGGAACTCCCTCCTGGTGCTATCCTGTGTTTCTGTTTTATTATTTTCACTCACGGCTTCATTCTCCTTACTTATTTTCTAATCCCCATGCCCCTGCCCTGGTAAATGATACTTTTGTCGGAGCTGATCTCCGACAAGAGAGGACACGGTAGTTAAAAGAGTTCTAGCTCCACTTCCAGAGGACCAAGAGTTTGGTTTCCACGACCCATGTCAGGTGGCCCACAATGGTCTGTAACTCCAGCTCCAGGGGATCCAAAGCCTCTGGATGCCAAATGTCACATGCACTCATATGCAAATAACCATGTGTTTGAGCACACACACAACACACAGAGTACACATACACACCCTTAAATATAATAAAAAAAATAAATCATTAAAAAAAAAACGTGGCTTAGAAAAGTTAGTTTATTCGGCATTTTGAAACAGATATGCCTAAACTCGAGGACAGGTTTATTCTATGTCGACTCTTCCACCACACCTGCTAACACACTGCTATTGTGAGCATCGAAGGACGTGTGTATGAGCTCTAACGACGGCTCAGCTGTTAAGTGCACTTAATTCTCTTGCAGGGGACTCAGGTTTGCTTCCCAGAACCCACATGGTGGCTAACAAAATCCTGCTCCAGTTCCAGGGGATCTGCCGCCCTCCTCCGACCTCCACTGGCACCAGACACACGCGGTGCACATACGTTCATGCAAGCAAAGCACTCATACACAGAAAAAAAAAATCTGAAACCGTGTGTCAAAACACCTCCGGAGACGTTAAAACCAGTACTGTAATATTAATTACAGCTGTACAGCTGAGGCTGAACAGACGGCCTTTAGCAAACAGAGGCTATCACAATATTCCTTCGTGTTTACTTACGTGCCTAGCACGGGCACATCATCTTCCCGTAAGCCCACGGTCCTGCCCTAATTTCAGATGTTATTTATGTGACTTGATAGACTGTTAAGAGGTGTGATAATGCAGCAGAAGTGTCTCTAAGGAGCAAGGCAGCTCAGTCCAACCGCCGATACTGTAGGATGAACAGAAAGGTGGGCGCTAAAGGCACTTCCCAGGCCCTGAGCCTGGGAGCACTTAAAGAGACTCAGGCCGTGTAGCACAAGGAACACAAGGTTCATCGCCAAGGGAGCTATAACATCTCCGTGGATGTGCTGACAGTACCAAGCTATCAGATCTCCCGATGGGAGCGCCAAGTGCAGGGCTGCTAGAGGGGGGAGCACTCGGGTAAACGCAGGGGCACCCATTAGTCCGGCAGATCCAGAGCTTTGGGGTTGTGCAAATTGTCCTAGGTGACCGGAATTGCCCCTTACATTCCAAATCAAAGATGGCCCTTCATTTGTTCTGCAAATGCCTGCTCCCCATAAACAATGCCGCAGCGACAGGAACCAGGCCCTTGGCGTCCGGGAATCGCGCTTGGGTGTCCGGGCGAGAGCACACTGAGCGACCGGTGCCCGGGACACCTGCCCAAAAGCCAGGACGAGCTCAGCGCCCGGATCGCGCGCACCCCAGGGGCAGTCCTGGCCCACGCACATGCACACGCACGGGAGCGCAGGATCCCGCGTTCCCGACGCAGCTCCGAGGCCCGGCGCCGGCGGGAGCCCAGGCAGCCGAGAGTTCCAGGCGGGGCGGGTGCCCGAGAACGGAGCTCGAGCATTCGCTCCCCTGCGGCCCAAGCCCCGCCCTTAGCCCCGCCCACCCCCTTCTCCCGCGCGCGGGCTTCGCGCGCCCCTTGCCGCGCGCGTGCGCGCGCGTGCGCAGGGCCCAGGGCCCTCCGCGGGCGGCCCCGTAGAGCCAAGGAAAGCGTCGACCCGTAAGGTCCCAGATTAACCCTTTCCCTGCCCGCTCACTCGAAGAGGCCCGGTCGGGTTCCGTGCCTGCGCAGGCGGCGGCGCGCCTTCTCCCCCCCCCCAGGCTCGCACCGCGCATGCACGGGGAGGGGGGGTGGGGGTGTTCGCGGCAGGCTAGATATTCTGTGCTCGTGCAGGAAGAGGGCTGCTACCACCAGGGACGTGCACGATTTTCCCCCCCACCCCCTCCCCAAACTACAAAAAAAAAAAATCCAAAACACCGCCACCCACCGTGCCCCCGCGTCCATCCCGTCCCGGCCTGCGCGCTGCCGACCGCGGGAGCCCACGGCGAGCGTCTGTACAGCTGTGCCAGGCTGCAGGTAAGCGCGGGCCGGGTGCTGAAAGGGCCGGGGCGGGCGCGGGGACGCGGGGGCAGCCGGCGGCGGGCGCGGCGGGGCGGCTGAGAGGAGGCGCGTTCCCGCCGAGCTCGGGCAGCAGCCAGCTGCTGCAGGATGTGGCGGCGCAGCGCGGTGCGAGCGGGATCGGGCGTGGGCCGCGGTTGGGCGTGGGGGCCGGGCGCCCCGGGGGCCGCGCAGGCCGGCGAGCGAGCGGGTGGGGAAGAGGCCAGGCGGCGGCCCGCGCGCGCGCTCCCTCGCTCGCTCGCTCGCTCGGCGGCCGAGTTCATGGCCGCCCCGCTCTCCTCGCCGCAGTGCACCGCGGTGGGGGTGGGGACGGCCGAGCCGGGCCCGAGCGCGGCCCGCGGGGCGCCGCCCCTCGCAGCTGTCTCTCCCCCCCCCCCCATTTTCCCCGGAGCAGACGGGACCCCCCGCGCACGCTCCCCGCCTGCGTCCGCGGAGCTCCGGGGAGCCGGCCGCGCGCCGCCCCCGCCCCTGGCCGCGGGAGGGCGCGGGAGGACCAGACGCGCAGGCCGCGGAGTGCGCGGGGCGCGAGCTCGGGGCTCGCGGGCGGAGCAGGGCGCGGCGCGGGGCTGCGGAACCGGCCCGCACGCCCGCTCCCGTGCTCGCCGCGCCGCCGCCGGGGCTGCTGCTGCGGGCCAGGGAAGAACCTCGCTCCCGCGCTGCCACCTGGAGAAGTGGCGGATCGGGGAAGGGAAAGTGGCCTGTCGCCGGCGGGCGCCACGCCGGGGAGCTTTTGTTTGGGAAAGAATGCTTCAGGGCTCGCTGCGCTCCGCGGCTCCCGGGCTGCGAAATGCGAGCGTGGGCTCCCACGCGCGGGCTGCGCCCCGAGCCTCGCGCCAGGTCCCGTCTTCCCCACTCCCAAGTTGTGCGGTCGCAACAGGGAAGTGGTGTGGCCGCCATTGTCGCAGCTGCTCCGGCATAAGGAGGCGGCTGCGACTGCTTATGTAAGTTTGCTTTGGGAAAGCCGGGCTCCCTGCTCCCCGGTGCGGGCGCCTTAGCGTTCCCGCGATCTGGAGAACGGCTAGCAAGGAGCTGCTTTAGGGTATTGTAGGTGTGGGACAAGACATAGTCCCACACCTACTTACACATACTGGCAATGGCTATCTTCCGGTTTGACTCATTTGAACTTAGCAATGGGAACATCTTTATGGGGGGAAAAAAACGAGCCGATTGGCCCGTGACCTCCTTTGAAAAAGAATACACACTAACCAGAAATGAGAAGCTGCACGCTGATGCGTTGCCATGGCTACTGTAGAGCCACCCTTCTCTAAGTGCCACGCTCGTTTTTGATTCCACAGTTAGTGACAACAGAGGTGTCACCAAAGATTCTGAAGGCAGTGCTCTCCTTCAAGCCCGCTGCAGGCCCAGGCTGCATCTAGAACACAGGAAGGCCTAAATGAAGAACGGCGCATCCTTAGAAATCCCCTCTCCAGCCCTCACGTAGTACAGATGAGAAAGCCTGCTGGTTCCGAGCTCTGTGGTTCCTTCCTATTGCAGGAACTTGTTCGGGGTCCTTTGGTGGAGTCTTGCGCCAAGTCTTTGTGTAGGACTGGATTCTAGCGCAGCCACCTGCTTTCTACACACTTCCGCGTTTGTGGGATTAGTGGTCACTAGAGGATATTTTTGTTCCTTAGTATATGGGCCTGCAGGATGTGGAGTTCTTTAGATGAGACTTAAGAATCAAAGCAAACTCTTTGAACCTTTGTATAGGAAGGGATAGAGGGAAAAGTGTGGACTTGGCCGCTGCCGTCTGGCGCACAGTTGTTCGCAATTGCGCGGACAAAGTAGCATGTTTACTCCTTGCTTCCCCTCCTAACTGTGGAGAATGTGTGCTCCTACAGCCTCTGCTATGTTTAGAGAAACGCGCATCTAGACGTTTCTAGGTCCTGGAGAGAAAGTGGAGAACTAGGTACCCAGTAGGACACACACTGATGATGTCACCTGCCACACTTCCAGTCCTTATGTAGATAGAACCAGGCCGGATTACTGCTAGCCCCTGGCTTCTACCCAGAAAAAATGGGTTCGTATGCAAGAGGTGGGTCGATAAAGGGGTCTGTGGTTCTTGTAAACATTTGGTTTAGAATTTGAGATAGGGAAAAAATCTTACTTAGTCTTTTATCTTTTTTCTGATAGATCTGGCTTGCCCCTGATCAGACTTACTCTGATCTGAAGATTTTGGAGTTTAAGGCATTAAGAAAATAGCCTGAATTGTTCATGGTAAGTGTGCCTTAGAATATTAAAAATTAGAGTATCACTTGGCATTTGATTTAAAGTAAGTATCTCAGGTCTAGGGGTATTGGATAAGGGGTTATGGATTTTCTTGGCTTAAGCAAGCCCCTGGTCCCCACTGTGTACACACACACACAAACACACACACACACATTCTAGTTACACATTTACAATTCTTTTCCTATGAGGAAAAATCTGCTTTCCTCAGACATATACTTTGTTGAATAAAACTAAGACAATTGTTTTGTTTTTCTTTTAGAAGAAAATGTAAAAACACATTGGTTTTAGATTGGTTCTTAAACACATTGCTAGGTCTTTCATGGTGGTCCTGAAATTCTTTTGCTTTTAATTTAAAGTACTCCAACACTTACTGAGCAAGGGTTGAACCTCCGTAAGTCCAAAATACTCAAATCCTGAAACTTCCTGAGGGCTGATAAGAAGCCACAAATGAAAAATCTATACTATGAAGTTTTGTTTAAAATACTATCTAAGCCAGGCGGTGGTGGCGCACACCTTTAATCCCACCACTCGGGAGGAGTCAGAGGCAGGTGGTTATCTATGAGTTCGAGGCCAGCCTGGTCTACAGAGTGAGTTCCAGGACAGCCAGGGCTACACGGAGAAACTCTTATCTCGGAAAACCAAAAAAAAAAAAAAAAAAAAAAGAAGAAAACGAAATAAATGAAGTATTATTTGAAATACTGTATAAATTACCTTCATACTGTGTGTGTAAGGTATGTATAAAATATCAACTAGTTTTGTATTTTGGCTTGGACTGGCTTCTCCAATTTATTTTATGAGGAATATGCATAATTGCAAAATCTGGAAAAATCTGAAACTTGAAGCACTTCTGGTCCTGTATGCCTGTTGCTGGTGAGACTTAACTGGGTGGCTGGAAGGTTGACATCCTGTGACAAGAAGCCACTCGTCAGTCTCTTCCCAGATATCTTTGGGGTCAGATTAAACCTTGACACTCGTCCAGGAGTGGCCCAAAGCAGCTGTGGAGAGACTAGAAGAAAACACAGACCCCTGTGGCTACGATGGCCTCTCTAGCTCTCCAATGGTGGTTTGTCTCTTCTCAAGGAAGTATAATGCCCAAACCCAGATGGTATTATCCTGAGTCCTCCGTACTTGGAATCAGACGCCATAGATAGGACTTGCGGATTCTCTTTTTCTGTGTTTGTGGCGTGTATTCATGTCTGCACGTGTGCAAGTGCGTGCATGCGTGTGTGTGAGGACGTTCCTGTGGAACCCCTAGGCTGACATGGTGGGAGTCTTCCTGATTGCTCTCCATTGTTGGCGGAGGCGGGCTCTCTCAGTTCAACCTGGATTCACTGTTCAGCTAGTAGAGCTCGCCGACTCTGCTCCAGAATTCACTTGTACCTTCTTGAAATTAGAGGCCCACCATGTGTTACACTGCAGCAGGGAATATTCAGCCCCCTTTTACCTACTGAGGTCTCCGGCTCCAGGACTTGAGCACTCTTGTCTCAGTCCTGTAACTTATACTTCACGGTCGGACTGTTTATCAGTCTTTTTCCTCTGTCTTGACAGTCTGAGTTTTTAAACCACGTTTCCTGGATTTGATTACTAGATCTTAAATAGTTATAGCACAGCTCCTTAACCCCTTTTACAAACTGAGGACAACACCTATTTCATAGGGTACTTAAGTGTGTTGAGACATCTAAAGCGTATAGAATAATGCCTGGTGTGTGTTTTGTAAAAAGCTGCCGTTGTTGTTCTAACTAGGAAACTGTTGTAAACCGAAAGTACTTCAGAATAGCAACATGGAAAGCCCTTGTCTGGGGTCATTCTTTCCTGCCCGTTTTTGGACCATCTTTAACACCAAGATTCAAGATTGTTAGGTTCCAAATAGTCACAGTATGACTGCTTTCGGGGCAGGGGTGGGGTGGGTATGGGGAGCACTACGCGTTAATTAAACTCCTTTAAAAAAAAATTATTTTGTGCAGGAGTTTTTCATCAGTATGTCTGAAACCATAAAATATAATGACGACGATCATAAAACGCTGTTTCTGAAAACGCTGAATGAACAGCGCCTGGAAGGAGAGTTTTGCGATATCGCGATCGTGGTTGAAGACGTGAAGTTCAGGGCCCATCGCTGTGTTCTCGCTGCCTGCAGCACCTACTTTAAGAAGCTCTTCAAGAAGCTAGAAGTGGATAGTTCCTCCGTCATCGAGATAGATTTCCTCCGCTCTGATATATTTGAAGAGGTCCTGAACTACATGTACACAGCAAAGATTTCCGTGAAAAAGGAGGATGTGAACCTGATGATGTCGTCGGGTCAGATTCTTGGTATCCGGTTTCTGGATAAACTCTGTTCTCAGAAGCGTGATGTGTCCAGCCCCGATGAAAGCAATGGCCAGTCCAAGAGCAAGTACTGCCTCAAGTTAAATCGCCCCATCGGAGATGCCGCCGACGCTCAGGATGATGATGTGGAAGAAATCGGGGACCAGGACGACAGCCCCTCCGACGACACAGTAGAAGGCACCCCCCCGAGTCAGGAGGACGGCAAGTCCCCTACTACTACCCTCAGGGTTCAGGAGGCGATTTTAAAAGAACTGGGGAGTGAGGAAGTCCGAAAGGTGAACTGCTACGGCCAGGAAGTAGAATCCATGGAGACTCCCGAGTCCAAAGATCTGGGGTCCCAGACCCCGCAAGCCTTAACCTTTAATGACGGGATGGGTGAAGTAAAAGACGAACAGACTCCAGGCTGGACCACAGCTGCCAGTGACATGAAGTTTGAGTATTTGCTCTATGGTCACCACCGGGAGCAGATTGCCTGCCAAGCGTGTGGTAAGACGTTTTCCGACGAAGGCAGACTGAGGAAGCACGAGAAGCTCCACACGGCAGACAGGCCGTTTGTTTGTGAGATGTGTACAAAAGGTTTCACCACCCAGGCCCACCTGAAGGAACACCTGAAAATTCACACAGGGTATAAGCCCTACAGCTGCGAGGTGTGCGGGAAGTCCTTTATCCGCGCCCCGGACCTAAAGAAGCACGAGCGGGTTCACAGCAACGAAAGACCGTTTGCATGTCATATGTGTGACAAAGCCTTCAAACACAAGTCTCACCTCAAGGACCATGAAAGGAGACACCGAGGGGAGAAGCCTTTCGTGTGTGGCTCCTGCACCAAGGCGTTTGCCAAGGCCTCAGATCTGAAGAGGCACGAGAACAATATGCACAGTGAGAGGAAGCAGGTCACCCCCAGTGCCATCCAGAGTGAGACGGAACAGTTGCAGGCGGCAGCGATGGCTGCCGAGGCAGAGCAGCAGCTGGAGACCATTGCCTGCAGCTAGAGGTGATGGGTCAGGAACACGTGGCCTGGGAGGTCGATGCCGAGGTTGCATTGATCACAGTCAGTGAACACTTTTGACTGCTTTTGTGGCAACTTAGAGTGTTGGACTGGGTGGACCTAAGACAGTGCTCATTCCAGTTAGGTGATTTTCAGATTCCTCAAGGCAGTTACGTTCCTACGTTCTGACCAAACAGTTTTTTTATTTTGTTTTTTTGTGGTGTCTAGTGTTCATGTTCCCGGTAAGCTCCCCTGCCCCTCTTTATGGTTTTAATTTGAAAACTCCTTTGTCCGGTTGAAAGTGAGCGGCTTCTGTTCCACTCTTAATTCCTCTACGCTTGCCAAACTGGTGAGTGCACTGCAGAGTGATTGAATAAATTGATCGCCTACCCGTCCCAATATATGTGACTTACGGTCAAAACAGCAGTTTTATTAACTGGATACAAGAACTTCATATTGGTGCAGAAAACGTTGGCACATGCCGACCGACCCAGGACACTGTATAAATACAAAACCAAGTTTGGAAATACGGAATGGTGTTAGTTTTATATTTGGCTTGTTGATTTTTAAATCTCTCTGTATATCATTGTTTTTACTGTTTCTGTGGACAGTAAGTGGCTGCTTTGCTGAAGTGTTTCTTCATCCGTTGTGATGGCCCCTGTCCCCACCCCAAGTGCTGCAGGTCATGAGTCCACCGGATGCTGGTAGTACCGGAACTGAATTCCTCTTTGACCCAGTGTGGCCACTCTGCCCGTGGGTGTCTGGAGTGAACCGGTCGTGAGGGAAGGAGAGAAGTCTCCGAGACCAGGTTTTCACAGATACAAAAGCCCTAAAATTTCCTAGGTCTTCAAAATCCTGACTGATTTCAAAATTGGTTTTGTATTTAGGATCAAAATTAGGACAAGAAACAGAAATGCTTCTTGAGATGTTTTAGTAGTTTATGGATGATCAAGCTTTTGGGGTTCTCTGCAGCTCTCAGTTTCTCATAAAGATGCTTAAATAATTTCAAATCTTTCAAATGTGTAAATAGTAGTGTTGGTCCTACGTATTTCAAGGGAAAGGACAGCTGCACTTTTTTATTTTTTTATTTTTTTTTTGCACATTGGATTAAAGTACCTCTCATTGGCAACAAACATCAGACTGTCTTAACCGATATTAAAGATCTTCAGACCGATCATTTGTTTTCCAAGTATGTTTTATCACTGGCTGCAGTTTTCAGTAGAAGCTGACTGCCTCTTCATAGCCATAAATCAGAATTATGAACTTTGTTTGAGATCCGGCATACTGAAAGTGCTTTTAACTGTTTCCTTAGGAGTATATTGAAATGCCAACAGAGTTTGAATTATGTTCTGTAAGAAAGTACTAGACCATTGTTTTAGGACGTGTACAGTTGTAGAAAGTAAGTGCCAACTTTTAAAGTTCATGTTTGGTTCTTAAGACTTTCGTTTTTAAAAAGTACATTAAAATAATTTCATTACATGGCTTGCTATATGATCACCTGTTATGACTATTGTGAGAACATTTTTTTATTTTCAAAATTGGTGTACGTGTTACGCCCAAGAGTGTCGGGTGGGGATGCTACCTTTCAAAATTTCTTATTTATTGGTAAAATGTTTTGGTTTAAAAATTAACTTAATTTTCCCTGAAAGCTCTTTGTTCTGTATTGAAGGCAGTCCTGTCATTGTGTTTCTGTGCTGTTAGGGAGGGGACCGACTGCTGTTCCCAGGCCGTGCTGACCAAAGCAAACGTGAAGTCAGCTGACATCCTGTTGATAGCTACTTCAACAAACCATATTTTGGGCCTTTGTTTTTGTATATAAAGAAAATAATATACTTGTCTCGTTCTTGCTTGTTTTCTTCATGGCGTTGTGCCCGTCCAGATCCACACCACCTTCCTCTTGGTTTCATAGAGGTACCGACTTAGCATATGAAAATAGTCCCTGGGCTGGAGAGATGGCTCAGTGGTTAAGAGCATTGCCTGCTCTTCCAAAGGTCCTGAGTTCAATTCCCGGCAACCACATGGTGGCTCACAACCATCTATAATGAGGTCTGGTGCCCTCTTCTGGCCTGCAGACATACAGAATATTGTATACATAATAAATAAATAAATATTTAAAAAAAAAAAAAAAAAGAAAATAGTCCCTATAGAAAGCCGGGAGACACAAAGCGGAACTTTCAGTACTTTCTATTATGCGTTTAGCATTTGAACTGCTTCATACAAGACATGGATTTGCGCCACAGCTTCTCCCATGGGTGCTGGGTTCCTGTTGGAGTGTGTGGTGACTGTGGGGTCTTAAAATTACTTTTCTTGGCCCTGAGCAATAACACTCGTCTTTGCTCATCCAGCTAGCTCTAGTCATCCCATGGGTAGTAAACATGGTGTTAGATCTCTCAAGGGACCCTCCAGAGGCTTAGGGAGCTCCTTCTGAGGTGTGCAGCCCTGAATCTGCAGCCAGAGGGGACGGGGAACCCTAAACATTGGCATTGCTAACTTTCCGTCAATACCATCTCTTTCTGTACAAAGTTACGTCCGCAGGCATTGTGTTGACTCATGTTAGGATTGGTTTAGATAATGACTATTAGGAGCTGTAAGCTTGGAGTAGTGTCAGCTTTCTGTTACTGTAAAAACAGCCAAGAGAGTTGGCCGTTGGTGGCACAGGCCTGTCATGCCAGCTACTCAGGAGGCTGAGGCAAGACACCAATCTGAAACCTGCCTGCATGGCTAAAGAGTTGCTCAGGAGCACTCTGAGCAAGTGAGAGACACAGGAATCTGGCACAGAAGCACAGTGCTCACCCATCATGCATGGACTTCAGTATAACTGAGGGTTATACCAGGGAGTGGGGGATGATAGGACTCAAATTCAAACACGTGTTTAACACCCTGAGCCTGGATTTCTTCACTTTTCAGGCAGTGGTGTGGGTTTCTACCTCATCATTTTCCATGAAAATTATGCAATACTCGACCCAGTACTCAGCTATGTAGGTGCACCAAAAATATTTCCTGGGTTTTTGTTGTGTGGGTTTGTTCTAGACAGGCTGTCACTGTAGCTTGACTGGCCTCAAACGCAAGAGATCTACCGGCTTCTGCATCCTCGGTGTTGGGACTATGGGCATATATATGCCTATAAATCCTGCTATGTCGAGCAAGTTCTCAGTGGACACCAACGTGTGTGTGCGCGCGCGCATGTGTGCGCACACAAGCACAAGCCTGTCAATTCCGTGATTGCCAGCTCCGGGTTGTAGACTGATAACCGCATTTAAAGAGTTCATTCGTAACTGAAACAATCTGCAGAAGCTGTGTTCAATCTTGACATTTGTAGGCTGCCCAGTCACCGCTCTGTTCTCTCAGACGTATTCATCCTCGAATTTTCTTTGGTTTCATAATCGCCCACCATTTGCCGTTCTTAAGTAGGTCATTGGCCTGTTGACAGGCGTACACCCTGGCTTGGTTGACTTCCAGACCTACTTCGGGACCATGACAACACAGCCAGAATTCCCAATGTTGAGAGCCATATGTGAGGTCATCCGCTTAGCAAATATTTCTGTGGAGCTTTTCCAAAGTGGACTTGTTCCGTGTTGCCCTTCCTGGTTTGCATAAATTCCAAGAATATCTCTTCTTCTTGCTGAAGGGATTAGGACTACCACCCTAGAATTTATTTTAGTTCTAGAGTTTTCTTTAGAGGATTCCTCTCAGCAGGAGTCTGTGGAGTAGGTTAGAGTCTGTTCACACTTGGTGAATGTCTGGTATTACAGTGTCAGGCATTGGACTAGGTGCTGGGAATGCCGCCGTGAGCAGGACTGACCCCGTTCCTCCTGTCCAGAAACAAAAGCCTCACCTTTCCACACGGCACAGAATTCTACAGACTTTAGTGTAGTCGTCACACACGTGCAAAACATTTTTCAATTTGTGCGCATATTAGTCCAGTTCATAGAACATTTTTTTTTTTTTGGTTTTTGGTTTTTTTGAGACAGGGTTTCTCTGTGGCTTTTGGAGGCTGTCCTGGAACTAGCTCTGTAGACCAGGCTGGTCTCCAACTCACAGAGATCCGCCTGCCTCTGCAGGTAACTAAAAGGCTTTTGTTCTATTGTCATGAGGCTGAGGGGTATCAAAATCAACTAGCAAGATGTCTTAGCAGGTGAAGGGCGCATGCCACCGAGCCTGAGGGCCTGTGTTTGAATCCCCAGGTTTCACACGGAAAGAGAAATGACTCCTACAAGTTGTCCTTGGACACCACCGTGTTGCTATGGCATGCACACACACACATGCACACAATAGATTAGTGCAGTAGTGGTGAATCTCATGCAGCGGGTCAGCAGAACTCAATTTAAACTGTGGTGGTAGGTAGGCTGTATGCTAATCGGTATAGCTGGTGTCCGTGGCTGGCTTATAGCCTGTTTGTCCACACTGTGAGCTAGCTACTGCTATTCTCATTTAGTTTTGGGTTTTTTTCCCCCCTCTAGGTCATCATACCATTCACAACCCTTTGCTTTAGATAGGGTTTCACGTAGCCCAGGCTTTAGACATCCAGAATCATGAGCCAAGATAAACCAGTTTTCCTTAAGAGTTCGTTCGTTTGGTGGTATTATTATTGGCAACAGAAAACAGATCATATACACGACAGGGATCGTAATTTTATTACTCTCTTCTTTCAGTCAGTAAGGGTGTGGAGGGCCCAGACCTTCATCTGCTGCTTTTCCCTTGCCACACAGACTGCGAGCGGCAGCCTCCTTCCCCACCTCACTCCCTTTGTCCTGAAGGAGCAGATGATTACATGGGTCTTTACGGTTAGTCCAATTATTTCCACTACAAATCTATGCTTTGGCAGTTATTTTGTTTGTCCTTCGGGAACATTTTAATGAAACTGCTTGAAAATTTCTTGCCTTCTAACTCCAAACCGTGCTAGAAGTGATCAGAAGATCTGGGCGCCGGGGTGGGCGGGGGAGGGGGGCAGAGAGGGAGGGGCCGTGTTGGGAGCAGGCAGTCGTCGTCCCTCATACTCTGGAATGAGAACGGCATGATCATCCCGCAGACTGACACAACTCCTACCAAAATGACTCAAAACTGGCCAAGGTGCAGTCCGGTGTCTTAACCCAGGCTCTCCTGCACCTGCCTGGAGCGCGCTCGGCTGAGCCTTTGGCCGTTCATTCAGCAGGTGGGTTAGAGACGCTTCCGGACCGCCGTCCAGGAGGTCAAGAGGGCAGCGCGGGAACACGTGCGCCTTTTACGTGGCTCTTGCTTCATGCACTTGTTTCTTCTCGCCTTTTCCATTTGGGGCCTGAATGTATAGAGCCATAGTTTTTGGTCCCCAGGTATTATTTTCACTTTCACTTTTTTTGTCCTGTTTCCCCATCATCGTTTTTTTTTTAAATATTTATTTATTTTATTATGTATACAATATTCTGTCTGTGTGTATGTCTGCAGGCCAGAAGAGGGCACCAGACCTCATTACAGATGGTTGTGAGCCACCATGTGGTTGCTGGGATTTGAACTCAGGACCTTTGGAAGAGCAGGCAGTGCTCTTAACCACTGAGCCATCTCTCCAGCCCTCCCCATCATCGTTTTGCACAAACAGCAACTGTATCTGTTATTAGAATTCATCATCTGCCGCCTCCCCTACAGAGACTATTAAGGCCCTAGTTTTTGGAAACAGTCATACAGACTTCGTAAATACATATGACGTATTGGATGGCCCTATTATGGGCTACTGTCCCTTCAACCACTATTCTACCAAAAGAAGG